TCACTCGAGTTCACCAAGGAAGAGATCTGTTCTCGTTTTTTATATTGTGCAGGATCTTGCACGCACATATAACATTACCCGAATATTAATGCATCCCCACAGCTTTTTAAGTGTTCAGATTTGAATGCACTAACAAAACTGAAAGACATTAAAAGTAGAGGAGGATGCAGAGAGTCAAATGTTCCCACCTAACCGAAAGTGGGTTACACAGAAAAATTTCCAAAAAAATGCATAATCACATTCCAATCCATTGCCCAGCACAACCCAATAGCAATGGATGGCATCGCACATGAAGGTGAATATATGGAGATGAATATCCTGATTTCTTACTTAGCATTCCATATACACGTAATACAAATTNCCCGTGAATCTCCAAACCGTGATTAGGTCGGCAAAGTTCACCAGCGACCAAGGGGAAGGAGCTGTTTCCCGAGCAGGAATATCTGCACAAACAAAATAGGCACGGCCAAACCCGTTGTCACCCGTGAATCTCCAAACCGTGATTAGGTCGGCAAAGTTCACCAGCGACCAAGGGGGAGGAGCTGTTTCCCGAGCAGGAATATCTGCACAAACAAAATAGTCATGAGCATGGGAAGTCTGGAGAAAGAAATAATAAACCTAAAGGAACCGACGTACTTGTCGTTCTCTATTCCAGAGGGCATAACAAGTCATTATACTCGGGACCAACACCTCTCTGCCAAGATCCCTTGAAGATAAGAATATCATCCTTGTACCCCTTGTCCGAGTCCGAAAGATGAGTTACAAGGTACATGGAAGGGTCCCTGGCTTTGAGGTAGAAGTGTTGGTGAGGCATGACTCTCAGGAGGGAATAACAAAAAAGGAGGTCGTTGAGCCCAATATTTACCCCGAGGCGCCTATTGATCTCTAAGACCCCCATGATTATTCGGAAGACATTAAGGCAACATTGCCCGGGGAAGAGGCGAAAATGAGAAAGGAACTGAAGGAGTAAGGGGGTAAAGGNCTGCACAAACAAAATAGTCATGAGCATGGGAAGTCTGGAGAAAGAAATAATAAACCTAAAGGAACCGACGTACTTGTCGTTCTCTANGTCTCAACCCATAGACAGGCTTGTTCATTTGATGTGTTAGTTGAAGTTTGGTATCATGAAAAATAGAGAAACAATTAAAGAAGCAAAGGAATTGTAGCATCAGGTCCGAAAGTTTTGCTTTCAAGTCTTGTTACGTAAGTTCTCGTACATCAGAATCTTCAATCTGCACGATACCCATGTTCCCTTGATTATGTGGAATTGCATATCACCAATCTTATACACATGCAGGCTCCTTGATGCAGAAATTCTACAAAATCATCACCACCAACTTACTTAGCCACACCGACAAANTGATCTGCTCATCGCCTTTTACCTTATATTTCCCCGACCCCGAAGGACCAGCCTGAGAATTCTCGGGAGCAGGGCGACGACGAGGCATCTCTAAGAAAGTAAGAAAGAAGAGGGTATTTGTTCTTAAAAATCCCTGAGGAGGTTTCCCGAGGGTTAAATTGCTATGTATCGACCGGATGACACCTCCAGTCAATCGGAAAACAAAAGGCTAGAAGGAAGAAAAGAAAGAGGATTCTAAAACTCACCCGAATGTCAAAACGGAGTTTTTTCTGGAAAACCTTAAAGCGACTCCCTCCAGAAAGTTCAGAATCAACGATGGGTCTGCTAGCTTTAAGATTTTAAGGAAGAACAGGCAGTCGACGATGGAAGAAGAAACAAAACTCCAGCAAAGATTCAAGAAGAGGCTCTCTTGAGGAAGTTCGAAATGGCAAAACGAGGAAAACGGAAGAGGAGCCCCCTTTATATAGAGGCAATTTTCATCATTGGACACGAGAAACGAAACGACGCATTAAATGTGCACGACATCCCAAGCCGGGGAAAGCGGCTCGAGGCAATGATGAAGGATGGGTGGTAGTTGGGAAACCCTTCGTCTCCTTACAACGCGTGTCCTCGGTGTCAGAAGATCGAAGGCTGGGGGGCAGTTGATGGGACTTTTCTGAAATACCCTATGATGAAGACACGTGTCCTCGGTTTTACTAAAACACTGTTGCTAATATCAAGTATCATCGGCGTACGAATGTCCTCGCCCCCGAGGTACCGTCATATAGGATCATACATTCAGTATATTTTACAACCGACACGTGTCCTCGGTCAGATATGTACCTCGGTCGGCATACCTCCCTCGGTCCCCGAGATGAGCCTTTCCTCGGTGCCGAGAGGTACCCCGTCCTGGACGCTTCCTCTACTCCAGGATAAGCTATTGACGTACAGGTCATTAGCCTAGGTTAGTCTAGGCTATTCATCATGACCTCGTCTTACAGAAGTAATGTCAGAACGTATTGGAATACAGAGGTCACAGCCAATAGGGGATGAACGCGTGGCATATGATATCACATCAGAGACAGACAAACCGCATGCCGTTGCTGACACGCGACTTGGGAAAGCAAACAATTAATTGCATCATTCCCTTGATGAGACCGCATTCAATGCGGTAAGGCTCGGAAATGAAAGGCAATAAATGCTCCTATTACAGAGCATTTATTGCATCCTCCCCAAGAGGAGCACATTGTACCGTCAGCATCCCGACGACCCAGCATTAATTGCTCGGGACCCCGAGCAGTTAATTAGAGAAGACATTCCTCATCAGAATCAATGCACACGCTACCTGTGCCTAATGATCACCTACTGACCACACTGACAGCAATTATGAGCTTTTAAGGTATAAATACTCCTTGCAAAAGGCAAAGCGGGTATGTAACAACAAACTCTCTACTACAATACACACAACACACTCAGTGTTTTCTCCTTCCTCTCTCTCTCTCTCAAAGACTAACTAGATCGTCGGAGGGGATACGCCGGAAAATACTCCGGCGCCCTTCTAACTTGTTCTTCTTTGTTCCAAGATCTTCTTTCAGCCTCACTGGATCGTTCCTTCCGCTCCTCCAAGGTCTCCCGTTGCCGTTCCAAGTTACCACCGGATCTCGCAGGCTGTTCTAGGTAGCGTGTTTGATCACTTAACCGGCTCACTCAAGTTCACCAAGGGAGAGATCTGTTCTCGTTTTTTATATTGTGCAGGATCTTGCACGCACATCCGTCATTAAATATTAACTTATCTAATAGCAAAAACTGTACTACGTCATTTGAGATGAAAATTTGGTAAAAAAATTTGGGAAGTATAACATTACCCGAATATTAATGCATCCCAACAGCTTTTCAAGTGTTCAGATTTGAATGCACTATCAAAACTGAAAGACATTAAAAGTAGAGGAGGATGCAGAGAGTCAAATGTTCCCACCTAACCGAAAGTGGGTAACACAGAAAAATTTCCAAAAAAATGCATAATCACATGCCAATCCACTGCCCAGCACAACCCAATAGCAATGGATGGCATCGCACATGAAGGTGAATATATGGAGATGAATATCCTGATTTCTTAGCATTCCATATACACGTAATACAATTTTTATTTACTCAAAAGTGAATGAAGTAATACATGTTTTGTTGTCTCAACCCATAGACAGGCTTGTTCATTTGATGTGTTAGTTGAAGTTTGGTATCAAGAAAAATAGAGAAACAATTAAAGAAGCAAAGGAATTGTAGCATCAGGTCCGAAAGTTTTGCTTTCAAGTCTTGTTACGTAAATNAGATCATTCAATTCTTTAAAAGAAAGTAAGGAATAATGATTTATAGTCCTGTCCTTGCATAAAAAAACTGTAGTGCAAAACTTCTGGCATCCGCAATTCCCAATCACCTTCCCAAACTTGAATTAGAGAAAACACAATAGTTGATAAGAATTATAATACATACACACCCGTGTGAAAATGAAATATTTGGTGTTTGATTACTCAGAATTGGCACATGACCCAGTGGAAATGAGCACATGGTCCTTAAGGACGAGATACAATTGAACAATTCAAGTTTTGGGACTCAGATGTCAAACCAAGCAGAGCTTTTGGAAAAGTTGCGACTTCATTACTGTTTCTAACTCTGATATTGAGCTGGGTACTACTCTACTGAAAGTCAGTCTCCCAGGAGATAAGTTGTGTTGTGTTTAAGGTTCTCCAGTTATTCACTGTCCAGCTTTTGCTCATATGTAGGTGTGGCACACTAATGACGGGCTCCTGATATACTGAACATGCAATGTCTCGTTCAGCATAATTTTCAACATGGAACAGACCATATACACAGGTATCATTCTTTAGAATGCATCTTTTATGTACAACACATACACATCTAGCATAACAAAAACGGAGCTTGAGTTGGATAATCACCTGAATATTTTTTAGACCTATCAGTATACATATCCTCCAATGTTTTTTTTAGTAAAAGAGGCAAGTTTCAATAGATATAATAACAAAAACTTCTATACATATTCATATAGGTATATAATATATATATATATATATAGAGAGAGAGAGAGAGAGAGAGATTACATTATACAAGTCGATCACTAATTCATCTAGATTTGGTGAGAAGGCACTGTTGACATACACAAACTTGGAAAGCAATAAAAAGGATGTCAGTGAACCAAAATCTTATGTAAATATGCATTTTCAAATGACACAATTACATAATCATCTACCAATGTCTCCCTGTGAAGTTGGCGGCGAAGAAAATCAACCACTTTAATGAACTTGTCAGTCCCAGCAATCTGCCAAATAAATAGTATATTACACATTAGCACAGAAAATGGTAGTGATATTCAGCATTGCCTACTGTGCTTTTTGAAAGAGAAACAAAATAGTCATGGATATAAAAAAAACCAATGGCACTAATATTACCCAACCCCATAAAACTTCAGTAATCCAACCTGCTACATTATCATTCATTTCCAACTCCATATTATGTCCACTCTGGCAGTGCAGAGAATTTTGGAGGGCTAAATATAAAAGAATTTTTCGCCATCAATCATGGGGAATCTCGAAGTTGATGATAAGTAAACGTGAAGCATTGCTTGCAGCCATGCTATACATAGATTTACAGTTATGCATATGACTTAGGTTTTCGCCTTAGATGCAAACACTAAAAACTCGAATGGCAACAGCAAAGCAAATGCCAGAATGCTTCAGAGATCTTCCAGAATAAGAGTGCTGACACCCGTAAATGAAACATATACAAAAGGAAAAATTAAGGGAAGAAAGAAAAAGAGGAAACAAGAGACTTTGAGTCTACTTGACACCACTCTTGCGAGTAAATACTGAATGACATGATATTACCAACTAATAATAAAAAACGGTGATATCACGTCACTTTTAATGACATAGTATCACCAAATAATAATAATTTCACCCCCGTTTACATGGAATAAGAGTAGAGAGTCATTTGCTTACATAGTAAGTTGGTTATTAATTTTTGTGGGTTCATTTGCTTATTTGTTTTAATATTTTTGGTAGGTGATATCACGTCACATTGTCATGAGGTATCACCATTGTAATGAATATTTTCTCCGCTCGTGCCGTCAATAGATTACATACAAAATTAAATAATATGCATTTGCCAAAATAATTTTAATGGTGTGGTCAAAGAGATGAATAGAACTCGTGGATGATACAAACAAGTGTGGGCCTGAGCTACAAGACTCATGCATACAACGACAGGGTTTCTTTTTGAGGAATCTTGGAAGTAAAACGAGGTACAATTATAGTGGTTCACCGGCTTGTGAGCCCGGTTAATCCACTCTTCAAAAGAGTCTCCTGCTTCTTTTATTTTTATTCATGGTAGATATGATTTACAAAGTATCATCGGTGGTATTGGGTTTTTGTTGCCTCTCAAGGAGGCACTNTTCTATTCCTTAGCTTAGGAAATACATGAAGGAAGGCAACTGATTGGCCCGACTTTCTGAAATACAAATAAACTAAATAAGACACCACCACTTAAATCTACCGGCAAAGAGTTGATTGTAACTTTGCCTAGAGCCTCGACTTTCTATATTATTAGTCAAATACCCTTATCAATGATTTTAGAATTTGAGTTTACGAGTCAACTGTCTCTTTTATTCACTTACATTCTCACGGGATAAATAGATTGTGGACAAAGTCGTCCTAACACACTTTGATTAAGTACTGGCATGACATATTAAAAGGAGGAGAAGAACAAGGGCAGAAATTTAAAATTTGATCAATAGTATATTTGAGAAAAGAAGTAAATTGATCTTTTAAAAAAAAAACTTCGTGGGTAAATCATCAACGAAACAAATGTAACACAACAAGACATGTTTCCATTCCAAGTTTAGGACAAAATAACTAAAATTTAAAGTCTTTATGAGGAAATATTGAATATAATAGTGATATCATGTCACCATTGATGACATGGTATTACCAACCAATAATAAAACCCTAAGTAAATAAAGTGAATCCCACTTGAACTTACATGGAGGAAGAGTGAGAAAATTTTTGCTTACATAACAAGTTGGTTAAAAATTTTTGTAGAGTCTATTTTTTTATTTATTTTAATATTATTAATAGGTGATACCACGTCACATTATCATGTGGTATCATAGTTGTAATGAGTATTCTCTCTTCTTGGAGATACCCTTAGGTAATTTAAGATTCATACAATTATATGCAATTACGAATATCGAGTCAATTAAGACATTTCTTCGCGATTCTCATCTTCTCGTCTAGCAAAGAAAGTGTAAAGGAGCAAACATCGGGTTGGAGGATGTTACCGTGTGATTGATCCATATGTGCTATTTTGATGCAGTACAGATGGTCAGAATTTTGGTAATTTATTTGAACGTGATCAGTGCCGTTCAATAGGAAATTTTAAAAAAATTTATTTTATTTTCTAATTTTAGTAGAAAATTATTTTTATGTTATTTTATAATTTAATTAAAATTTTATTTTATTTAATTTCGTAATTTATTTAAAATCCTAGTTTTCTAGTTCTTTTAGGGTTTCTGCTATTATATAAATTCTTGTAAATATTAGGGGTAAAACAACTTTGGATTATTTCATACAATTGAGAGAGTTTCACTTTTATTCTTAATTCTTCTGTTATTCTTAGGAATCAACAAAGTTTTTAAAACCTTTAAAATTGATATTTTTCGTGAATTAACATGCTTAAAGTATGAATTTAAACCGGTATTTGTACACAAATCAATAATTTATTTTATNTAGTTTTCTAGTTCTTTTAGGGTTTCTGCTATTATATAAATTCTTGTAAATATTAGGGGTAAAACAACTTTGGATTATTTCATACAATTGAGAGTTATTTCTTTTCAGTCATTAAAACATTTGATTACAATAAACACGGGATGAACATTGTTTCTTGTGATAGTTTTTATTCCTTAAGATATCATGTCAACATCTAATTAAATTTTGTTATGAAATGGCCATCGAGTAATGAGGGAAAGTTTCAAAAGTTCCAACATTTAGGCATAAAGGGGTTGGTAGCACTTTTCAATTTGCGTCCACAATGGTTGTAATTTTATCATTGAATTTGAAACTTTTTTCTGCAAAAATATTGGGGACATTTCACTTCTTTTGGCCATGTGAAAGTTACATGAGACTTTCTATTGGCCATATGAAAGTTACATGAGACTTTTAGGTATAGGAAAATCACATTAATGAGTTCAATGCAAATTAGATTACACAAAAACAGATCTNATGATTTTAGAATTTGAGTTTACGAGTCAACTGTCTCTTTTATTCACTTACATTCTTACGGGAAAAATAGATTGTGGACAAAGTCGTCCTAACACACTTTGATTAAGTACTGGCATGACATATTAAAAGGAAGAGAAGAACAAGGGTANCTTGTGTTGTACAACAGAGATGTTGCATAGTAGAGAGTCTGAACTCTAACGCTGCGCTTGGTACGCAGTAATGCATTTATGTAGGAATGAAATAGACATAAGANTAGAAATTTAAAATTTGATCAATAGTATATTTGAGAAAAGAAGTAAATTGATCTTTAAAAAAAAAACTTCGTGGGTAAATCATCAACGAAACAAATGTAACACAACAAGACATGTTTCCATTCCAAGTTTAGGGCAAAATAACTAAAATTTAAAGTCTTTATGAGGAAATATTGAATACAATAGTGATACCATATCACCATTGATGACATGGTATTACCAACCAATAATAAAACCCTAAGTAAATAAAGTGAACCCCACTTGAACTTACATGGAGGAAGGGTGAGAAAATTTTTGCTTACATAACAAGTTGGTTAAAAATTTTTGTAGAGTCCANTCTGTGGAATTATGACAAGTTCTAAATCTCAAATTTGGATATATTATGGAGAGTAATGTTATTTTGATCCAAAAATATGATCTAATTTGTTAATCGAGTAATTCTACATAAACTTAAAAAATTGACTTGATGATGTGGTTATTATATTTATTATTGATTTAACTGTGATTTCCAGTATTTATTGAAATTCACTATTTATTCAATAGTAACGATTCATCAAATCAAGTTTTTAATTCGGTTTTTTAAGTTTNAGGTGATACCACGTCACATTATCATGTGGTATCATAGTTGTAATGAGTATTCTCTCCTCTTGGAGATACCCTTAGGTAATTTAAGATTCATAAAATTATATGCAATTACGAATATCGAGTCAATTAAGACACTCCTTCGCGATTCCCATCTTCTCGTCTAGCAAAGAAAGTGAAAAGGAGCAAACACCNATCAAGTTTTTAATTCGGTTTTTTAAGTCTATTGATCATTTTCCTTTGCTAAACTAATGTCGTTGTTTAATTATAACTGTTAGATCAACACCAACTTTAAATATTTAATGTGATTCATAGTCAATCAAATAACTATATTGAATTAGATCAATAAATTAAATATTGTTATGAATCAAAGACACAAGCAAAATAAAACATAACGAAATAAAAAAAATATAACACATAAGATTTACGTGACTCAACTCAACAAGCAAAGCCTACATCTAGGTGTGCCCATAGGTCGGATTATCCACGGGTCCCGTTACCTGACTAGAAAAAAATAGGCCCAAAACTTGATAACCTAATAATTAGCCGGTCCATGCCCGAGCGCAATATTCTTAAAAATATGGTTTGGATTTGTCCTCAAACCCATTACCTGGCCCGAAATCCAATCCAATAGTCTACCCGAAAAAAATCCGTTAAAACCCGGCCCAAGAGACCGCCCACCCTTCTTTTATACTTTTAAACCAATAAATTTAAAACTTTGAAATAAGTCTCTCAATGTCAGAATTTGAAATTTTAAAAATTTAGATATTATAAATAATGTATTTTTTTTTTTTCATGTATTAAGTACACAAGTTTTAAAAAATAAAATAATACAAATAATAGATAAGTGAGTAGGTGTCAATTTAGTTGAGATGTATTCATTCTATTAGATGAAGTTCATTCCTTAATTCATTATTTTATTTTTATCTATTTTGACTCTATTTTTTATTCAAAAATATAATTTACACAAATATTAAGTTACAAAAATATTCATTATTTTTAAATGAAGTTATATATATAAAAAAACGTGCAAACAGACCCGCACAATAAACTCGCGGGTTGAGCTGCGGGTAGCCTACACCTGCACGAAGCCCGATACAACCCTCCTGATAACTCACTTGGTTAAGGACTCGGACCCACACTACCTAAACTCAACCCGCCCCATGGACACTTCTACATCCATAAACGAAATACACCGGCAACACTTAACGTTCTCGATAAACAAAAGCAACCAGAGAGAACGTCACAACTTTATCACACTATTATAGTAAATAAATGAGTAATATTATTTAGATATAAAAATTTGACTTAATTTATTGACATAATAATATAATTTTAGTAGAATTATTGGATTAACATCAAATTTTAATATTTAATGAACTCCACAATTAATCCAAAAATTATGATAAATTAGATTAATAAATTAAGTTCCAATAACGTTACTCTAAATAAATAAATAGTGCCCAAAAAATCTTCAATCAACCAAGATTAATTTTTCCGAAGAGAACCCAAAACCAGATAGCACAAAATCTCAATTTAATCACCTTTGGCGTCAACGTTTTTACGTGTTCCTAGAGAAGACGGAAATCAACATGTGCTACTGGAAAAGACAAATCCCATCCAACTTGAGTACTACATCTTCAAAGTAAAAATCACCATTAAAAAAGTCCATCACGTGTTGGACTTTTTCAACTTATCCAAGCAGCCTCCAAATTAGATTTTTTAGTGAATAGTCATTCACTTGANCTTCAAAGTAAAAATCACCATTAAAAAAGTCCATCACGTGTTGGACTTTTTCAACTAATCCAAGCAGCCTCAAATTAGATTTTTTAGTGAATAGTCATTCACTTGCAAANCTTGTGTTGTACAACAGAGATGTTGCATAGTAGAGAGTCTGAACTCTAACGCTGCGTTTGGTACGCAGTAATGTATTTATGTAGGAATGAAATAGACATAAAANTTTCAACTTATCCAAGCAGCCTCCAAATTAGATTTTTTAGTGAATAGTCATTCACTTGAAAAAGAGTTTCAAGAGTTTGTGTATAAAACAAACTCGTATCATTATTTATTGTAATACTTGAAATACAAGTCATTTATTAACAAATATATTGTTTTATCAGTAATATTACACTAACTAAATTTTAAAATTAAATTTAAAATTCTAATGACATGACAATATGTTATTTCGAACTTTTATTGGGGTCCCAAATGATATAACACCAAATAAAGAAGTTCAAATTAACTGTCATGTCATTTAAACACTAAACTNGAAATACAAGTCATTTATTAACAAATATATTGTTTTATCAGTAATATTACACTAACCAAATTTTAAAATTAAATTTAAAATTCTAATGACATGACAATATGTTATTTCGAACTTTTATTGGGGTCCCAAATGATATAACAACAAATAAAGAAGTTCAAATCAACTGTCATGTCATTTAAACACTAAATTNTTTGGATATATTATGGAGAGTAATGTTATTTTGATCCAAAAATATGATCTAATTTGTTGATCGAGTAATTCTACATAAACTTAAAAAATTGACTTGATGATGTGGTTATTATATTTGTTATTGATTTAACTGTGATTCCCAGTATTTATTGAAATTCACTACTTATTCAATAGTAACGATTCATCAAATCAAGTTTTTAATTCGGTTTTTTAAGTCTATTGATCATTTTCCTTTGCTAAACTAATGTCGTTGTTTAATTATAACTGTTAGATCAACACCAACTTTAAATATTTAATGTGATTCATAGTCAATCAAATAACTATATTGAATTAGATCAATAAATTAAATATTGTTATGAATCAAAAACACAAGCAAAATAAAACATAACGAAATAGAAAAAATATAACACATAAGATTTACGTGACTCAACTCAACAAGCAAAGCCTACATCTAGGGGTGTCCATAGGTCGGATTATCCACGGGTCCCGTTACCTGACTAGAAAAAAATAGGCCCAAAACTTGATAACCTAATAATTAGCCGGCTCATGCCCGAGCGCAATATTCTTAAAAATATGGTTTGGATTTGTCTTCAAACCCATTATCTGGCCCGAAATCCGANTTGAATTATGTCGGCTGCCATATTATTAAAATAATAAATTATGTAACGTTAATCTTGAAATTTTTGACTTCTACGTTAACTTGAGATTGGGTTTCGTTTTCACATTATTTCAAGATAGATTAATGTTAATTTATCTATATAATGAAACCTGAATGACTTACTGGAGTATGATAGAACTTCTCTTAAAAAATGATTTAAAAAAAAGTACAACAAGAGGGACGCNTAGATAAGTGAGTAGATGTCAATTTAGTTGAGATATATTCATTCTATTAGATGAAGTTCATCCCTTAATTCATTATTTTATTTTTATCTATTTTGACTCTATTTTTGATTCAAAAATATAATTTACACAAATATTAAGTTACAAAAATATTCATTATTTTTAAATGAAGTTATATATATAAAAAAACCTGCAAACAGACCCGCACAATAAGCTCGCGGGTTGGACTGCGGGTAGCCTACACCTGCACGAAGCCCGATACAACCCTCCTGATAACTCACTTGGTTAAGGGCTCGGACCCACACTACCTAAACTAAACCCGGCTCATGGACACTCCTACATCCATAAACGAAATACACCGGCAAAACTTAACGTTCTCGATAAACAAAAGCAACCAGAGAGAACGTCACAACTTTATCACACTATTATAGTAAATAAATGAGTAATACTATTTAGATATAAAAATTTGACTTAATTTATTGACATAATGATGTAATTTTAGTTGAACTATTGGATTAACATCAAATTTTAATATTTAATGAACTCCACAATTAATCCAAAAATTATAATAAATTAGATTAATAAATTAAGTTCCAATAACGTTACTCTAAATAAATAAATAGTGCCCAAAAAATCTTCTCTCAACCAAGATTAATTTTTCCGAAGAGGACTCAAAACCAGATAGCACAAAATCTCAATTTTATCACCTTTGGCGTCAACGTTTTTACGTGTTCCTAGAGAAGACGGAAATCAACGTGTGCTACTGGAAAAGACAAATCCCATCCAACTTGAGTACTACATCTTCAAAGTAAAAATCACCATTAAAAAAGTCCATCACGTGTTGGACTTTTTCAACTTATCCAAGCAGCCTCCAAATTAGATTTTTTAGTGAATAGTCATTCACTTGAAAAAGAGTTTCAAGAGTTTGTGTATAAAACAAACTCGTATCATTATTTATTGTAATACTTGAAATACAAGTCATTTATTAACAAATATATTGTTTTATCAGTAATATTACACTAACCAAATTTTAAAATTAAATTTAAAATTCTAATGACATGACAATATGTTATTTCGAACTTTTATTGGGGTCCCAAATGATATAACAACAAATAAAGAAGTTCAAATCAACTGTCATGTCATTTAAACACTAAACTTAATTCTAAAATTTGATCAACGTAATATTACTCTTGTTCTGTTATCACAAAGTCTTAATAGGTAGGTGGTTCCTACTTCAACTATGGACCCAAAGTTGGGTAGATATGGGTGTTTATTTCAGGGACTAGGTGAGGGACCAAAATAAATGTCACAAAGGTCCCTTTGGTTTGGATACCACCAACATCATGTATATTATGGAACGAGTCTTTATGGCAGCATGTCATTTTTGACCTGGCATTTATTTTATGCACATGGCTGCCGATCCTTTTTTTTTTTTTTTTTTTTTTTTTTGATAACAAAAGTGTTCTAACCCATCTTATTTCCATTTGAATAATACTTTTTTGAGAATTACAAAATTGGTATAATATTTTGACATAATAATGTGTCACGTAAAATTATTTTAAAAAAAAAAAAAAAAAAATCCGACACACAACAATAGTTAGTGTTATGTTATTGAATTATGTCGGCTGCCATATTATTAAAATAATAAATTATGTAACGTTAATCTTGAAACTTTTGACTTCTACGTTAACTTGAGATTGGGTTTCGTTTTCACATTATTTCAAGATAGATTAATGTTAATTTATCAATATAATGAAACCTGAATGACTTACTGGAGTATGATAGAACTTCTCTTAAAAAATGATTTAAAAAAGAGTACAACAAGAGGGACACGTAAGAGATCAATTCTTGATTTTGACCTCTAACCTCCTCCTTTGGAGTACAAGGGTGACTACCTAGGTTGGCAACATCAAGTGAACTGATTCTTTCCAGACAATCGTGAACAACTGAAAGAAACAAGAGATAAGGACAGGAATCAAAAGCAATTTGATTTATTTTCCTCTAATGTGGTCATATAGGCAATAGGGCAGATTAAAAGAGAGAGATAATAACCCATGTAAAATTGTCCACCTTTCATTCAGCGATTTACACGAAACTGTTAACAATGGACAGGATAATTAGAAGCTACCGACCAAAGTGTCGTAAGAAACTAATATTTCACCAATTATTATTTTTCTCTCTTATCTTGAAGCCAATCCACTTCAGGATCAAGAGCAGTTGCCATCGATCCAAGATCCGAATTACGCAACATATCTTCAGTGCACACCACAGTTTGATCAGAATTAGGAGATGAGTAGCTGCACTGTTCAGTTGTGTTGCTGCTAGTATCACCACCTTTGACCACCCCAATGTCAAACTCACACACTGGTGCAAGTTCAGAGTCAAGAACGTCTGATAGAAATTTCTCTATCTCAAAATCCATCATAGGGTCAGATTGGTTATTATCTTCATTGAAAATAAACTCCGGTAACCCAGAAAGTTGATCGGAAATCACAGCAGTACTGTCAATAACTGTGTCTTTAACTGTGGGCAGCGGTGCAACCACCGGCTTATTATGNATCATCATCATCATTCATTACAAAAAAATCCCATTGGCTGCTCACTTCCAGGCTAACTTTCTCACCTCCTGAAAGTTTGTTGAATATAGACAATGAAGAATGAGCTAAAGGGCCAAAACCAATAGATCCATGCTCAACAAGTAACAAATATTTCTTATGTTATTATATTGAAGCTACAACAACCCTTTTTCCGAATTTTACATAGAATTCAACTACATAGAGCATGCATTAGGATGGTTCTCATGCACGTTTTGAGGCACTCTTTCTGTCTGTTCTGCTGCGACTCCGATGAGTGGCTAACTGTTCCATGAAAATTGAACTAGTGTACCCTTTTATTTCTCATGGACCATATCACAATGTGGATGATACGTACTTTGGTCATTCACACAATATTAATTGGAGTGCTTAGTAATTCAGAAGTTTTTTTGTTTGCATGGCAGCATAAGAGGACTGAAGATCTGTTCATTGGTCATCATAAATATTATTGGGTGTAACGAAGGTGTCATGTCATCGTTGTCTCACAANAGTTTTTTTGTTTGCATGGCAGCATAAGAGGACTGAAGATCTGTTCATTGGTCATCGTAAATATTGGGTGTAACGAAGGTGTCATGTCATTGTTGTCTCACGATTTGACCAATTTATTATAAATTTACAAGTGAACAAGATAAACTTCACTTGATAGTTATTTTCATACGCATGTTAGTTACCAAATGACATGAATGTGTAATTACAAAAGTACGAATAATCCACTTGCTCAATCGTTATATTTTTATTAAATAATGACACCGTATTGCAATAATAACATGAGGACCGTAAGCTGGAAATCGAAATCGAAATTTAAATTTCATATCAAAAATCACTACATATATGGACCAAACACGACAATCCTTTGGCAAACATTCAGCATCTTTCTTTGTTAACCATCACTAACATGCCAGCTGGNAGGACCGTAAGCTGGAAATCGAAATCGAAATTTAAATTTCATATCAAAAATCACTAAATATGGACCAAACACGACAATCCTTTGGCAAACATTCAGCATCTTTCTTTGTTAACCATCACTAACATGCCAGCTTGNAATTAGAAGCTACCGACCAAAGTGTCGTAAGAAACTAATATTTCACCAATTATTATTTTTCTCTCTTATCTTGAAGCCAATCCACTTCAGGATCAAGAGCAGTTGCCATCGATCCAAGATCCGAATTACGCAACATATCTTCAGTGCACACCACAGTTTGATCAGAATTAGGAGATGAGTAGCTGCACTGTTCAGTTGTGTTGCTGCTAGTATCACCACCTTTGACCACCCCAATGTCAAACTCACACACTGGTGCAAGTTCAGAGTCAAGAACGTCTGATAGAAATTTCTCTATCTCAAAATCCATCATAGGGTCAGATTGGTTATTATCTTCATTGAAAATAAACTCCGGTAACCCAGAAAGTTGATCGGAAATCACAGCAGTACTGTCAATAACTGTGTCTTTAACTGTGGGCAGCGGTGCAACCACCGGCTTATTATGGAGATGTTGAGTTTCCTGTGGCTCTGCATTGATGAAAACCTTGGTGCACCTAGATGTCTTGGTACGAACAACATGTGATCCTATTGTTGGTGAGGGTGGCTGGCCAAATAATGATTGACCCATGCTTTGACTGGGGTTTCGTTTGGATTGATTTGTGGAGTTATTGGGATGACCTTGGACTTTTTTGCCAATGTTTGTGTTCCAGTAATTCTTGATTTCATTGTCTGTTCGCCCAGGAAGCCTTCCCGCTATCAGAGACCATCTGCAAATACACCATGTAAACCTGTCAATAAGCATGTGTAGTGCTATCTGAATCACAGAATTACTATATCTTATTCATTTGGTTTGTTGGGATTTTTTTTTTTTTAATAACTGAGAGTTGTCCCTACCAATAATGCATGCAATAACCCACAAACCAAATGAACCGAGACAATCAAGATGTCTTTTGTGAGGCTCAAACTTGGGAGCTCGATGTACTAACAATTGAAACTCTAGCATCCAGTACCTTGTGTTGAAATTTTTTAAAGAAAAATAAAATGAAGAACCTGTTTCCAAGGAGCTTGTGAAGCCTGATAATGAGGTCCTCTTCATCCTGAGTAATGTTTGCTCTCTTAATATCAGGTCTTAAGTAGTTTAACCAACGAAGTCTGCAACTCTTTCCACATCTCTTAAGACCTGCATGGAGCCATCAAAAAATGGTTTGCACATATTGTTCAAAACCATTAATAACCCAACTTCACATTCCAACGCCCACAACATGATTTAGAACAAGTACTGTGTATTTACAAAGCTATCAGCTAGCTCACCTGCTCTTTTGGGGAGGTTTCTCCATTTCCCTTCACCATGAACCTTAATGTACTCGATAAGAATTTTGTCTTCCTTAGCCGTCCATGCCCCTCTGTTCATGCCATCTTTTGAACAACAAGGACTTCTGCCCATTTATGGAAACTTTTCAAAGTTCACAAATCTCTCTCTCTCTCTCTCTCTCTCTCTAATCTCCAAAGGAGAACAAGAAGGGTTTCTTTAAGGTGCAAGAGTGAGGGACTCTGGAACTTGGTGGAGATTGGAGTACAGACACTAGCTCATATTTATACTGACAGTTGTAAGAGCCCATGAGGACACGATTCTATAAGGTCCCCACAGATTCCATCAACTCATAAATGCAATAACCTTAAAAAGGAATCTGCAAACAGTAATACTCTGTTGAACAAATTTTGGGACCACTGGAAAGGGTCTTGGTCTACATGTGCATTAATAAGGACACCAACCAAGATCATTCCCAGTCCCAGCAGCTTGCTCATATAACATCGAAAGTTGATTTTTCATACAGTTTATATTTCTGTGCTCTATGATTATGATGGTAATGAATGATGATGATGATGATAATGATCATCATCATCATTCATTACCATCATCATCATCATCATCATTCATTACAAAAAAATCCCATTGGCTGCTCACTTCCAGGCTAACTTTCTCACCTCCTGAAAGTTTGTTGAATATAGACAATGAAGAATGAGCTAAAGGGCCAAAACCAATAGATCCATGCTCAACAAGTAACAAATATTTCTTATGTTATTATATTGAAGCTACAACAACCCTTTTTCCGAATTTTACATAGAATTCAACTACATAGAGCATGCATTAGGATGGTTCTCATGCACGTTTTGAGGCACTCTTTCTGTCTGTTCTGCTGCGACTCCGATGAGTGGCTAACTGTTCCATGAAAATTGAACTAGTGTACCCTTTTATTTCTCATGGACCATATCACAATGTGGATGATACGTACTTTGGTCATTCACACAATATTAATTGGAGTGCTTAGTAATTCAGAAGTTTTTTTGTTTGCATGGCAGCATAAGAGGACTGAAGATCTGTTCATTGGTCATCATAAATATTATTGGGTGTAACGAAGGTGTCATGTCATCGTTGTCTCACAATTTGACCAATTTATTATAAATTTACAAGTGAACAAGATAAACTTCACTTGATAGTTATTTTCATACGCATGTTAGTTACCAAATGACATGAATGTGTAATTACAAAAGTACGAATAATCCACTTGCTCAATCGTTATATTTTTATTAAATAATGACACCGTATTGCAATAATAACATGAGGACCGTAAGCTGGAAATCGAAATCGAAATTTAAATTTCATATCAAAAATCACTAAATATGGACCAAACACGACAATCCTTTGGCAAACATTCAGCATCTTTCTTTGTTAACCATCACTAACATGCCAGCTTGGATCAAATCAACATCTGGAATCTCATTTTAATGCGCTTCGAGCTGATTCCTATACAAGGAAGTCATCTTAATGGTGTACAATGGGATGAGGATGATAGGCTGATACTTCATCAACACATTAAATACTGTCATTAAATACGTTTCCTTTTAAAGTGGACTCAATATAACAAAAGAAATGAATTCTGCACACAAGTAGGAAACTCATACTCAAGCCAAAAAACGAAAAATGGTCAACAGCTGTGCTCTTGTCCTGAACCTCTAAATTCTCAAGCACTAAACAAATATCTGTGGCTTGGTTCTTCCTGGGCCCAACCTGTGATAGCAGAAAAATGTCAGTAAATTTTAAGCACAATAGATGTTTGCATTGCAAGATAGATATATGTCTAGATATTGGCACAACAATAGGCCTGCTTNAACCTTGGTGCACCTAGATGTCTTGGTACGAACAACATGTGATCCTATTGTTGGTGAGGGTGGCTGGCCAAATAATGATTGACCCATGCTTTGACTGGGGTTTCGTTTGGATTGATTTGTGGAGTTATTGGGATGACCTTGGACTTTTTTGCCAATGTTTGTGTTCCAGTAATTCTTGATTTCATTGTCTGTTCGCCCAGGAAGCCTTCCCGCTATCAGAGACCATCTGCAAATACACCATGTAAACCTGTCAATAAGCATGTGTAGTGCTATCTGAATCACAGAATTACTATATCTTATTCATTTGGTTTGTTGGGATTTTTTTTTTTTTAATAACTGAGAGTTGTCCCTACCAATAATGCATGCAATAACCCACAAACCAAATGAACCGAGACAATCAAGATGTCTTTTGTGAGGCTCAAACTTGGGAGCTCGATGTACTAACAATTGAAACTCTAGCATCCAGTACCTTGTGTTGAAATTTTTTAAAGAAAAATAAAATGAAGAACCTGTTTCCAAGGAGCTTGTGAAGCCTGATAATGAGGTCCTCTTCATCCTGAGTAATGTTTGCTCTCTTAATATCAGGTCTTAAGTAGTTTAACCAACGAAGTCTGCAACTCTTTCCACATCTCTTAAGACCTGCATGGAGCCATCAAAAAATGGTTTGCACATATTGTTCAAAACCATTAATAACCCAACTTCACATTCCAACGCCCACAACATGATTTAGAACAAGTACTGTGTATTTACAAAGCTATCAGCTAGCTCACCTGCTCTTTTGGGGAGGTTTCTCCATTTCCCTTCACCATGAACCTTAATGTACTCGATAAGAATTTTGTCTTCCTTAGCCGTCCATGCCCCTCTGTTCATGCCATCTTTTGAACAACAAGGACTTCTGCCCATTTATGGAAACTTTTCAAAGTTCACAAATCTCTCTCTCTCTCTCTCTCTCTCTCTAATCTCCAAAGGAGAACAAGAAGGGTTTCTTTAAGGTGCAAGAGTGAGGGACTCTGGAACTTGGTGGAGATTGGAGTACAGACACTAGCTCATATTTATACTGACAGTTGTAAGAGCCCATGAGGACACGATTCTATAAGGTCCCCACAGATTCCATCAACTCATAAATGCAATAACCTTAAAAAGGAATCTGCAAACAGTAATACTTTGTTGAACAAATTTTGGGACCACTGGAAAGGGTCTTGGTCTACATGTGCATTAATAAGGACACCAACCAAGATCATTCCCAGTCCCAGCAGCTTGCTCATATAACATCGAAAGTTGATTTTTCATACAGTTTATATTTCTGTGCTCTATGATTATGATGGTAATGAATGATGATGATGATGATAATGATCATCATCATCATTCATTACAAAAAAATCCCATTGGCTGCTCACTTCCAGGCTAACTTTCTCACCTCCTGAAAGTTTGTTGAATATAGACAATGAAGAATGAGCTAAAGGGCCAAAACCAATAGATCCATGCTCAACAAGTAACAAATATTTCTTATGTTATTATATTGAAGCTACAACAACCCTTTTTCCGAATTTTACATAGAATTCAACTACATAGAGCATGCATTAGGATGGTTCTCATGCACGTTTTGAGGCACTCTTTCTGTCTGTTCTGCTGCGACTCCGATGAGTGGCTAACTGTTCCATGAAAATTGAACTAGTGTACCCTTTTATTTCTCATGGACCATATCACAATGTGGATGATACGTACTTTGGTCATTCACACAATATTAATTGGAGTGCTTAGTAATTCAGAAGTTTTTTTGTTTGCATGGCAGCATAAGAGGACTGAAGATCTGTTCATTGGTCATCATAAATATTATTGGGTGTAACGAAGGTGTCATGTCATCGTTGTCTCACAATTTGACCAATTTATTATAAATTTACAAGTGAACAAGATAAACTTCACTTGATAGTTATTTTCATACGCATGTTAGTTACCAAATGACATGAATGTGTAATTACAAAAGTACGAATAATCCACTTGCTCAATTGTTATATTTTTATTAAATAATGACACCGTATTGCAATAATAACATGAGGACCGTAAGCTGGAAATCGAAATCGAAATTTAAATTTCATATCAAAAATCACTACATATATGGACCAAACACGACAATCCTTTGGCAAACATTCAGCATCTTTCTTTGTTAACCATCACTAACATGCCAGCTGGGATCAAATCAACATCTGGAATCTCATTTTAATGCGCTTCGAGCTGATTCCTATACAAGGAAGTCATCTTAATGGTGTACAATGGGATGAGGATGATAGGCTGATACTTCATCAACACATTAAATACTGTCATTAAATACGTTTCCTTTTAAAGTGGACTCAATATAACAAAAGAAATGAATTCTGCACACAAGTAGGAAACTCATACTCAAGCCAAAAAACGAAAAATGGTCAACAGCTGTGCTCTTGTCCTGAACCTCTAAATTCTCAAGCACTAAACAAATATCTGTGGCTTGGTTCTTCCTGGGCCCAACCTGTGATAGCAGAAAAATGTCAGTAAATTTTAAGCACAATAGATGTTTGCATTGCAAGATAGATATATGTCTAGATATTGGCACAACAATAGGCCTGCTTAGAGTTGATTTTTTTAAGTAAAAATCTGTAATTTAAAATTTTCGCAAAAAAAAACAATCAAAGTTAAAATAGTTCTCCAAAACATTAGGGGTGTTCTTTATATAGTTGAAAAAGTTTGTTTGGAGTGACTTTATAACTCTTTTGACCTTTTTGAATCAAAATAAAAAAAATTATTACATGTATGTATAGATTATGCATAATAATTCTCAAAATATGAATTTCAAATTTTTTTGCCGTATTAATAATATTTTAATATAGTAAATTAAAAAATTATGTGAAATTCGCGACAAAACTCTAAAAAAAAAACTCATAAAATCAACTTCTTGAATCAATTTAAATAAACTTTTTTGGGTTCAAAAAACTGCTACTGCATAAGCTAATAAAAAAGCCAATATCCAAACAGATACTCAAAAACACTTGAAAGCTACCTATTTAACTAGTTTCAAACATGCCCTATAACCCTTAAAGATCCACAGTAGTGGTCAAGGATACCCCCAAAAAAAAAAAGTGGTCAAGGATACAAACTCAGTCTCATTTTGCATGTTAAAGAGGCATCACCTCCATATAAATTAGATGGCGCTCGTAGATTTGTGGTTTTTGTTAGCATAAGACAAATGGGCATATGGTAGTGCGGAAGAACATGGTATCAGGAAAACAATTCTTCAAAACTGGATCAAAATCCTAGTAGCTACATGTCCTAGATCTCGAAGCCATATTTCATAGACATACCCTTCATTCTCAAGTTCTCTCTTGGGAATTTCATCTTCTCCCTCGAGATTGACCAAAGAAATATAAAGCTATTTTCCAAGAGGGCATATGACAGACTCTGAGACTCCCAACTCCTAAAGACTGATTGAATAACAAAACATATTAATCACAACATGTCGTACCAACTGTTTCTCCTTTACCAAGGCCACAAAGACCTACTTTTGAGTTATTGGTCCCTTGTACTTAGTGTGCAACCAAGACAAAAAAGCCCACCTGAGAAAAGTTGGAAAATTCAGGGAACTGCCAGCGTATCTCACACAGCATCCATGGACTATGATACCTCCAAATTTTAACCTGATCCATACTTAGACTATGATACCTTCCATGGACTGTAAAAGTAACATAAAATGTTTGGCAATATGCAATGAAGAAATCATTCCATCAGACCAAAAAATGTTTACAAAGGTCTTACTTCTGGATCAGTATCACTATATTACGATATGAAACTTCCAATATACCTGATAGTCAGTTCAGATAGCACATTGATACATCCAACTATAAAGCCTTGGCTCTAATTCTAAAAAAGCGACAGCCATCATATATTCTCTGGGGTCAAAGCAACCAAAAGGCAGTTTGGAATATGCATGCAACATTGGCTCATATTCACAATAGTGAGCTCTGAAGTATAATAAAATCAGATACATTTGTCTAAATCACATCTTCCTTATGTACTAAAAACAGTTTAGCATATGAAAAGTTAAGGAAAGGTAAGTTCATGATTTGAAAGCACAGAATGCTTACCACCAGGTTCTGTGCGGCTAACATGGAGATCAAATAAAAGTCAAAACTTCTGTCCATTAAAACCTTGTTAGTTGCTGCAGCATTTGAGAAGCAGTTGATTGTGAAACTAACTGGTCTGAATGTGAGGAAGGTTTTATCAGGTTGTTGGCACCAACTGGGTTGCCAAGCCCATGTCTGACCATTTCCTCGGCATTATTCCTATTTTTCCCAGAGTGCGAGGGGTCCATCAATGCGTGTATCTGAGTCAACAATTTGTGCCAATATGAAAGTTTTAGCAGCCATGAGAGTGGATGCCAGACAATTGCAAGAACAAAAATTATGCTCACCACATCAAGACGCTTCTTGTGGAGATCACTTGATGGCTGCATGCACATTTCAAACTCAACATTAAAATAGATCTCATGAACTACAATTTCATTACGAGTACAATCAGCAAGACTACTGCATCTTAAGTGCTCTGGGAATGATATAAGGTCCAATACAAGTACGCAATAAATCAATCAAAGAGAGATAGAAAGAAATCACCATAATGTCAGTAAAATGTAGAATAATTAAATTAACATATGTCATCAAGCATACTAGACAAAAGTAGCTTCATCTTCATAATGAATGATTCTATTCTTTGTGAGTGGAATCAAATTTTCTGTTTTCAATTTCCAATGGTGCATATATTCACCTACACCTAGTTCCTGCTTATGCCAAAACGCGCAAGAAGGAAAAGTAAAATGCTTACATGGTTCCGTTGGTGGTTCCTTTCTTCACTTGAGAACCCTGGAATGTTTAAACGCCAGTTTTTCTCTGTACACAAACTCACTCAATTAGATCAAGGCTCCAACACTCCAACTTAAACCAGAAAATAGAGTCTATTATGCAATTGGATGTGGTTAACGTCATCAACATGATAGTATCGGATGTTCTCACTTCTCATCAATTAGCTTGATGTGAGATAAAACAGTTGGCGCAACTAGCCTTTTGTTCCCTGGAACAACTTTAGGGGAAAAATGAGAACAAAAAAAGAAAGAAAACTCAGCTTGCTCCATTATTTCTTTTTTATTAATTTTTAAATGGGCAAGGACTTCACTTTTTACATTGGGAGAGGAGGAATGAGACTCAAACCCAGGTCTTGAGCCAATAAGGGTAGCCCCTTACCAAGTGGGACAACCCTTTTTCTCAACCAGATCATTTTATTTAAAGATATGTGTGTTTTGCTCATTTTGGAGAAGTATACAATCTACTTCAAGGTACCATGTTCAGCACTATAGGCATGAGATTTAAACACAACACAAAATCATTTCCAGAAACACCTTTCTGCATAATATCTAGCCTAAACACATAGCAACTCCTACATTTACAAAGGAAGAGCAACGACAGAGTTAAAATCCTTTCTTCACACAAATTGATGTCATATTAAGTGTAATTGGTAGTCAGATAGATAATGATGTTACAATTAGAGACTAGAAGAGGCCTCTAATTCATAGTTATGCCAGATGCATGATGTCCATACTATATTCAAGTGGTATGTTTAGTCCCCGTGGACTTGACCAAGTACTGAAGTACATATTGTTTTATTTTCCACAACGGAGCAATATAACCAAATCTTTTTTCCAAACCCCATCCAATGAAAGTAACATTTGAAAATCAGTTTTCCAAATTCAAAAGAGTTTCATCGTGCTTTTCCTTAACTAACACAAAAGAAATCTACAGATAAAATATGCTAGGATGCAGCACAAACCTAGGTGTAGCAATACATCCTTGGATTCTAGAGTTGAAGATTTCCGATGCTTTGCCAAACTGCAAGCAAATGTAGTAACCTAGAAAAAAAAACCATGGCATCATCAGTTTTTGTACGAAAGACCACAGCAATCCATGCTAAAACATGTAAGCCATCGACTATAAATCTTTTTATGAAACCTAACGTGGCTGCAGTAACTGCAAGACAACTGGGCATACATTGAATAGAATGAAATCTATGGACAATGTGAGAACGAGCCCTTATCCTTGTTTTTTCTTTCTTAGCTATACCTTAGGGATATATCTTAAAAATTATATCTAGTTAAACCATTCCCTCAAACCTTTGAGTTTTAGATGTAAAGACTTTACATATTTTAAACACTGCATTCCTTGTTGCCTTATTTAGTAAGATACACAAGAACGATGTGATCTTACTGACTGCAGGGGAATTGGCAGCCTTAACTTATATAGGTTTTAGAATCCCTAAGCCAATGTATGTCCACCCGTTACTCGTTTGAAAGTCCCAACTACTTTATGCATCTACACCCCAGGAAAATTCCACTATTGTTTCAGGACTGTCTTACATACAGATTATAATTTATATTAATCTGCACAGTTTAGCGTTCACAATACCATGATTCTCACTATTATGCACCCAATAAATTGTTCTAGACATAGAGATGTAATTAAATTTATGAATTCCTTTTGTTCGGGTAAGTTAAATTTCCTCATTCTAGAAGAGACCTATCTTATCACAATATATAAGTACCAAATTATTGTTCAACACAACCACAAAATTACAAAGGAATGAAAGAAGTTGCAATTTTCTTGTATGCCAATATGATTGTAGCAGAAGAGTAAACTAGAAATCAATACCCATGTGTACAAGTGCATAACCATGCAAAGAAACACACTTTGCGAATGTAAAAGTTAGGCGTAAGAAAGCCTCACTGAATCAATAAAATCATCAGCGATTTCCAAAAGAAGATCTTCAACTTCAGGATCCAGCTTTCCTTCTGAGTCCACCTGAACACCCAAATCTTGGAATCATTTCACATATAATCCAAAATACTTGGAATATGAGTTATGATCACCAATTTACTTGTGAAACTACCATTTTGGGGTGTTTTACTGAAATAACTAAACTGAAACGAAAGGAAAGAGCTTAGCATGTGTAATGTTTCATGACTTCAAATCTGAACTCAGATTGCGTCTTAATTATTCTTGCCCTTTCACAATTAATTCCGAAATTCCAAACCATTCTGGGAAACAACAATGCTTATCCTGCCTTTGTCATTATGGTTTCCCTAACATGACAAAAGAAACTAAAGGAAGTAATGAAGCGAGATTGCATCAATTACCTGTGAAACCAAATCCTGTATCTTTCTTTTCCCAAGAAGTTGATTGCTTGCTTCTGTTCCTTGGCTTGAACTACCCCCTGGAGTAGTTGTTCCAGATGCTGTAGCATCGGGCTGTGATCCGGTCAAACTTAGGGATTTTTGGCCAGCGGGTGCAGCCATCCTGGGAGACTGCTGCTGCTGATGCTGATGCAAAAGCTGTTGTTGTTGTGGTGGTGGTGGTGGTGGTTGTTGCTGCTGCTGCTGCTGTTGATGCAGCTGAGGATGGCCCACTGGTTGCTGCTGCTGTACCATTTGGGATAATTGCTGTGGGTTCAAGGCCACAGAATTTTGGTGCAACTGAGGAGATGAAACCAATTGTAGTGCTTGTTGTTGCTGCCTCTGCTGTTGTAGACGTAATGAAGGAGAATTAGGAGCAGACATTGTTTGCTTCAACCACTGTTGCTGTGACAAAGTGTTCTGCATCATAGCTGGTTGTCCATTCTGTGCCAACCCAGATAACTGAGGGTTCATAAATGCTGCCCTTTGAAGGTTTTGAGCCTGCAGTTTCTAGATAAGACCACCATGTCATATTCGACATAAAAACAAATGGAGAACAAAATGAAGAAAGAAAATATTGACAATATTGCATCGGTGATTAAACTATCTTAAATAATTCATATTAAGTACTCAATAACATAATTATTTACTGAAGAATTTTTGTAGGAGGCTCCCATCTACTCAGCATTTGCACATTTCAACATTACTTTAACCACCAAAAAGAGTAAAACATAACCCTATGCGATTTATGCATCAGAAAAATCCAAAGAAGTCTTCAACCAACTAAGCCCTTGCACATATCTACATTACTTTGTTAAAGATTGGCTGTGATGGCTAACTAGAACTAAAAGGGATCCATTTTTGAAATAGAAGTTCCATTTTCACATTCCAACTATTTTGCCAAAACAAACTCTAGGTCATTTCCAAGCCAATCTCAGGGGTGGTAAACAAACTACAAGGTATACTTGTGCTCAACCAAACAATAGAGGAAATGGATTCAACAAGAGGTATGTTTCCACCTGTTGTCCACACTCCCAACATTAATTATTCCTCTATTTGTCAAATAGATGTATATGCAAGGCCAAATTGCCTCTGAAGGGCCTGACTATACACCAAAGCGATAGTGACATTGTATTCAGTACACAACACTTCAGCCTGTAGCGAGGTCGGGGAGAGGTAACGAAGGATAATTATCATGATCAAACTTCTTGTGCAATCTCCTTTTCTAACCCTAATTTTGTCTCATATTTGTGCAATAGATCATGATATCACTCCTAAGTTTCAACACACTAGGTGATAACTTTTTCCCACTCATACAGAGCCTAAAGTTACCACTGCATGCACATCTGCACTGACACTCAAGCTACTCTTAACTTACCTCAGTACACATCTTGAATCCCAGTTGCTGTGCCGCAGTTACAAATTGAGATTTGGGTACTAGAGCCACAAATCTTCTTTCCGCTTGCACAACTCCAACAAGCACTGGGGAGAATGTGCGTGTTCTATTCCCAAAATCTCACAATGCAGTGTTTTTATGGTTTCTAGTGGTTTTTTAAACTCATAAAGATAATCCCGCTGCAAATATTTTCTTTGAATATATTACTCTAATAATGATATATACATAAAACANATAAAGATAATCCCGCTGCAAATATTTTCTTTGAATATATTACTCTAATAATGATACATAAAATAAAAGTTATATTAAAAACTCACATTCTATTGGAAAGAGTGATTACAGAAAAGCATAACTTACTTATCTCTCATAACGCTTGATTTCCAATCTTGAAATAGATTCGGCATAAAAATGAATGGTCAAAGCCCAATCAAGCAGATGTAGTGAGATCAAAATTAAGTGTCTTACCTTGAAATCATTAAAACTTAGTCTATTGGAACTTAAATTTATGGTTTAATATAGATGCTTGATCTTCAATGCTAAATTAAGTGGAATCTACCTTAAAAATGTGCCTATGAAGGACTTGGATGGCATAAAAGATTCAAATGGAACCAAATCATGGACTTTGGTGACTCGCGTCCAAAGAGCTTTGCGGACTGTAGTGTGCCTTTGCCGCTTGCCACGGGCCGTAACTAAAGCCCATGATTTGATTCCATTTGAACCTTCACATAAATTCATTCAATCACTATTGCCACCTGTAGCGAGATTAATCAACACTACCTTGCAATCATGGCATATATAACTTCAGTCAATTCTTAAAACCACAGGTTAATTTAACTTTGCTTGCAAAGCTAGCCAGTGCAGTTAAAAACCTTGGAGTAAAAAAAATGGATTGGCTTGAAAAAAGAGCTCTTGTGAGTGGTGGTCCTGGAAGGATACCATAACAACTTAAAGAAGGCTGAATACGCAAAGCAAAAAATGGCAAGAAGTACATAGAAAACTTGAGCCCAATCACAAATGGAATCATACAAGAAAAGTGACACCTGTGTTACAAGAAATTTTACCAGTTTATCACTAGGAATTCATCTCTAATCAATTTGTTTCGCATCATAAATTCAAAAAAAAAATAACTCCTAATAAAAATATCTTCCAAAAATAAAAAGGCTAATCATTAATTTTGGAATCCTAAAAGTAGCAAAATCTTTTGAAGGCCTGTATTAGAAAAACCTTCAGAATTTTTGTTAAAAAATTGTGGAATTTTGTGGAAGAAACACACAAGCCTGGTGGTACGAAGTTCAACAAAAAATGTGGCTTTCAACAGAAATAAAAGAATGTACATAGTGTAATAATATCTTCAAACCAAGTAAGCTGAAATGTGCACCTGGGCACTAAGAGAGCACCAAGAATGGTAATCGCTATGAGCCTAATTTAACTACCAAATAAACAGCCAAAGTTCCCTATTAAGTTAGAATTTAACAAAATTAAATCTGACAGTTAGCCATACACAAGAGGACACAAGAAATATCAGGAAAAAAAACAACAGACAAAAATGACACCTGAGCTGAGGCAAGTGGATTTTGCTGTGACAATTGCTGCCTCAGTTGCACCTGATTCATCCTTTGTTGAGCATACGATGGAGATCCATTTGGTCTGAGTTGTGAGCTCAAATTGAAGGACCCCATCATCCCCATAGCTTGCATTCCTTGCAAGGGCTGTCCAGGACTATTTCCCGGGTGGAATTGAGACCCTTGCACTAACCCAGTTTTCTGCCTCGGCTGCACCCAAAATTCCATTTGTCTCAAAAAGAATCCACACAACATTTTTCATTAAGAATGCGCATTAATAAAGATACAGCATCAGCTTCCAGCATTCTCACAACCAAACCAACAATTTTCTATCACCTTCAACTACGAAATCATAACAGTTCAAAAGAAGAAGAAAAAATTAGGAAACTATAGAATTATTTGCCCAAAACATTACGTACCGATAAAAGATGGGTCTGCAAATTAAATTGGGCAGCTGCAGCGGCGGCGGCTTGACCGGACAACATGGGCAAGTGACCGGTCTGTCCAATCAAAGTGGACCGTGTCAAATTGGCACTACCCATTTGCTGTTGTTGTATATTCTGTAGCTGTTGTTGTTGCTGCTGTTGTTGAAGCGCATTACTTCCACCGAAATTCATCTGCCCATAAACCCCCGCTTGCTGTCTCACCATCCCGGCTCCAGTAGCCATCCCATATTGTTGCTGCATCTGATTCAACCTCGACATTGATGGAGATCTCTGTAGGCTCATCATACTATTATTTTGCTGCTGTAATTGTTGTGGTTGGGATTGTTGGGGTAGAACGGTAATTTGTTGCTGTTGTTGGGCTTGTTGTTGTTGCTGTTGTTGTTGTGAAGGGGTTAAGGGGATTTGAGGGAGAGAAGGGGAGGAGATTTGAGGGATTTCAATTGATGGGGAGTGAGAGATGGTTAAAGGGGAGGGCATGGCTGCGTTAGGGTTTGATGATGATGATGATGGGTTTTGAGTGATTGGTTCCATTGTATTTGTTGCTGTTTGGATTGGTTTCTGGGGCGATGTTGAACTCTCCGCCATTGTTTTTCCTGAATATATTCAGAGGGGTTTGTGATTATATATGCTAGCTAGATCATAGGAAATTCACGTTCCCTCAGAATTTGGGAGTTAGGGCTAGGAGAATCGATCAGAGGGGAGAGAACGACGGGAAGCTGAAAGAGAGAGAGATTGGTAGACTTGCGCGATCGGATGTCTTTGCAATCATGAATAAATGTGGGGGGAGTCAACTGTCAAGTGTCAACTATAAATCATTTATCGTTGGGTAAATATTATTGACACCCCCTAGATTGGCCTAATATCAAGGACGCCGCTTATAATATTGATAACAATTTAACCACCTCCAACCCCCACTATTGATCTATTCTCACTCCCATGTATCTCTCTCACTGTTTTTCCTTACCTCACCGCCGTTGACAAACCCACCCTAGCCAACCACAATGCACGCGCAATGAACACGACACGTTTGAAACAACGAGGAAGAGGCTTTTGTTATCAAGGACACCCTTTGCTTTGCTCGTGATGACACAGCATAGAACTCTTACATGTGCTTTGTATGGGTAATTGAAAGTGTGAGGTTAATCTTAGATTGAATTCCTTAGACCTCACGAGCAGTACCGCAAATGAGGAAGGCTCATCTGATAATACTGAAATAATTGAGTTTTTCTTCTGGGGATCCAATTGATCTCCCTCTAAGATAAATATACAGAGAAGAAAAATAGGTTGGTGGCGGCGGGACTGGTGGTTGCGAAGGAGGTGGACCACCGATTCAGAGATTGGCTCTTCTTTTTAGCGTGTGGTGCCATGGTGGCGATTCCCAGCTGGTTTTAGTGTGACTGTGGTGGCATGTATGTGTGTGTGTGTGTGTTCGGGGGAGCAATCATGGTGGTGGCGGCAGATCATGCGATCAAGGGAGAGGCTGAATCTTGTTCATTTAACAAAGAATCAGAAATGCAGGTATTACTCATCCACACTAGAACACTTCGAAATGAAAAGCACAACATCAAAAGGACCGCAACCAAGGTGCTTTTACATGATTTCCAAGTTGTAATAAACAGAACATCTACACATTTTAATGGTACAAAGTTACAAGATATCTTACATATTTACATATTTCTTAGGTCTAGCTAGCTAAATTTACAAGGGTTAAATCCTGGAATACGTTCACCTTAATCCACCACCTTCCCTATCTCCTTCTCCCATCCCCTACCCCACCCCCCAACAAAAAAAAAAACCCAAAAAACCACCATAGTTTTCTTAAAGAGAAAGTGGGACCCGACCCAAAAGAGTCCCCGATAACAATAAATATTTCAACTATACAAAATATCCTACAAGAAGGCAGTACTCATGGGATTGGCAAAGAAATGCTTTTGGCAAGTCAACTTTGATTTCTTGAAGCTGCTCCCAAAAAGGCGACCCAGTATAGCAGGAGGCTCACTTGATGTGGCCTGATGCATCTTCCGCACTCTAATAAGGTTATCCAGGATCATCAATTCCAACAATTTTCTGCAGCTCTGTGAGAAATTGAAATCCATGCAACAGCAATTGTTCACATTACCCAAAAAAAAAAAAAAAAAAGCCGTACAAAATGTATATGTATGAGCCTATCCATGCTAAAGAAGGCAACAATTGCCAAGTTCCAACACCAGTATCATGGCACATTAGGAATGACGACATGATTAAAAATTATGAGCCGCCACTAATAATGACAATCACATTTTTTTTTTTGCTAAAAACTGATAAAAAGTCTCTTATGCGAAAAGATTAGTCCACGACAAGATCATGGCAGCACGACTTAACAGACACCATTTCATTTTCAGGGCATGAATTCNACAATTGCCAAGTTCCAACACCAGTATCATGGCACATTAGGAATGACGACATGATTGAAAATTATGAGCCGCCACTAATAATGACCATCACATTTTTTTTTTTTGCTAAAAACTGATAAAAAGTCTCTTAAGCGAAAAGATTAGTCCACGACAAGATCATGGCAGCACGACTTAACAGACACCATTTCATTTTCAGGGCATGAATTCATCATGAAATCATCAAACTTAAGCCCCCTTGTCGACTGCTAAATCACCTCAGTATCTTCAAAGTATTACAATTTATTTGCGTAAAATGAAGATAGCATACCTGAGGATTTAGTACACACATCTGACTTATTATATTGTCCTGCAAAAAGATCAAAATAAAATACATTAAGATCTCGATACAAGAAGGAACAGTAACATTTCTAATCAATAAAATTAACGAATTAACTACAAATCTACAAGTTTCTATCCCAAAATAAAGTGTGGAAAATTAGAGTCAGAAGTAATAAAGTCTACAATGAATGTCAAAAATTTCTTCAGTGAATGTCTAGAAAAACCATTCCAACTTCAGGAAATAGTTACATACAACAATTTCCAAAGAAAAAATATATGAGAAAGTAGGATACTAGCATAATTTGCGAGCTGAAAATTGAAGTGAAAGTAGCATGCTAGACTTTCAGTTCATAATCCACCATCCAAAGACAATAAACTTAAAACCACATCAAATAGCACCAGTCAGTGAGGTCGTCCAGCTGTGCAACGCAAACTAAAAACCTAGGTTGCATTTGGCTTATTACCTTTAAGTAAAAGTCCATTTCACGGATGGACTTTATATGAGATGGACTGTGGGATGGACTTTCAAAAAAATTAAAGATTAAAAAACAATTTTAAAACATAGGTTTACCAAACATGACACTAAAGCTAATGTAATAAGTCAAAATGATTAAAACTAATATATTAGAAGATATATCATGTATTGCGTTTCAGTTCAAGTCATTGCAAAAACAAAGTAAACAATTAATGGGCTGCCCCGCCAAGTCTAATCAAATCAGAAAGGCTATGCAAGCTCTCTCTCTCCTTGGTTCTTACCTAGTTACCTTAGTCCCTCAATCTAGTCCTTGCTTACATCTCCACCTTTGAAGGTAAGCAAACTTTCTCATATGAACAGGATAACAAATCTAAAAAGGGAAAAAGCCTCGACAAAAATGGTAAAATAGGAAGACCAAAAAAGTGAGTGGGTACAACTGGTCTGAATCTTTGGCTTCCCAAGTTCATTTTGGAGTTAAGAGGAGGGTTTCCAGAAAAGCATAACAAAAAGGCTGTCAAAATTTTTACTTGCAGGGGATTGAGGGACTGCTATCTTTTTCTTTTCATAAGATCCACAGAGGCACGAGTTATTTCCATTTTAAGTTAAGTTTAGTAGTTTACTATGGGATGCTACTTATATGTATGCATAGTTATTGACGGACCAACATAGCTGGTTGCTGTGCCTTTTTTGGCTGTGCAGATTGTAGAAAGGCGAATATAGAAACGCCCAAAAATCAAAAGTAATGATTTATTATTATCATCATTAATTAATTTTTAGGGTGTTAATAGATGTGTCTAAATTGTCATGTTCTCTAAACTTGGAAGAATCCTGCCGGGTTTTAGAGTTGAAAAAACAGAGAGATGTTGGGGAAACAGAGTGACTGTTGAACAATCAGAAGCGTGCAAAAGAGAGTTTTCCCTGGGGAGAATCTTTCATAGGGCGTGCAAAACAGTTATCCTCTAGGGTTAAAAAAGATATTGTCTTAAGAAAATGAAGGACAATTGTGGAATATACTTTTATATCATTAAAAACAAAACAGCTGACTTTGTGAGAAGTTGAAATAAGTCGTTTTGAGAAGCTAGGTTCCCTGGCTTCAGCCAATGCGCATTTGCAAGATGTACTTCTAACCGGGAAACTGAAAGTGTGGACCCACCAAACAATGAGCAATACTCTATAAGAATTCTTGCCATCCATAAGACGCAAGTAAAAATTATTGAGGGGTGGACACAATGACGGAACTACATGGAACCAAGGGGGCTCATGGCCCCCCTCATATTTTCAAAATTATCCTATTCTTCCTTTAGGTTTCAAGAATTCTGTGTCCTTGTAGATTTTCAAAAACTCCTTTTTGTATAAACGGTATTCAATTAGTTTATTCAAAAAGCATAATAGCATGATATTAATTATTTAATAACCAAATGATTGATATTGATCTGATGGACAAGTGAGTTCTTATAGAAAAAAAGAAGGAAATCTGCTGCAAAATGAAGGTATGAACGTGACTTTATATTCACCAATAATGCATTGACTCATGACTAACGTTTACAATGGTGTTAAGCGAATATTTATGATGGCATATGATTCAAAATTATTGCATCATGTCATAATGAAGGAATAAGTGGTCCATGAAATTGTCGCAAACTAAATTTCCTAATGATAAGTAAGAACTAGTTTTGGGATTTTACGAACTAAATGTTTGTAATAGTATCATATAGTGATAGGGTTTTCATTATTAAAAATATAAGACTAATAATCTCATTTCATTAAATTCTTAACCATGCCACTGTTTTTATTTGGGTCCCCTTGTGATAAATTTCTGGTTCCATCCCTAGGTGGACATATGGAAGTCATAGCCAAACAAGAAGCTCACAAACTGGAACCTCCCCATTGCTGGAATATGCAACCATAATCAAAGCTACGAAAAATATTTAACCTAACATTCAAGAACAAAATTTGAAGCATGTCAGTCAAGAATTTTCAATGCACCCATCCGGAATAGCTTACCTATCACCTAACAGAGATCAAGTTACTCTTTAATTTTCAAGTGATTTTCTCATTAACAGATTTATGGCAATGTACTTCTTGAATTAAGAGTTAATATAGGACCATGACTGATATCAACGAATTATCATAGAAGGACATTTCTCATTCACATCACACTTTTTTCTTTTTCCTACATGGTGGAATGGGACTGAAAGTTGCAAAAGAAAGGTTATGCAAACCAACCATGTGGCATTACTCACACCAAAAGCTCAAATGGTAAGTACATACCTCCAATATTCCTGGATTTTGCATCACAACACCAAGAACCCGCCGTATAAGTCCATTGTAAACAATCTTGTTGATGGTACCATCTCCGTTTAACCAAGGCAATATTGGCCTACATGAACAAGAATCACCAGAAAGGAATTCTGACATTTCACCCTCCTGACCTCTTCTATGAGAAATAACTTTGGCCGGTGTAGAGCCTTCAATCTCATTGACACTTTGAGTTTCACTTGAGGATTGATCATTTCCTTCCCGAAGGTTTAGAATGGTGATTCTGTGCACCTCATCAACATTCATGCTTATTTCCTTCCGTGAATTCGCGCCATCGTCCTCATGATTCTCTGGCTGATGGATCAACTGCTCACCATCAACCATTCCTTGGGAATTTTCTGTTGGAGCTACCTTAAGATCTTGACCAAGGCCACCCATCGAAGTCAAAAAATACTTGGACCGATATAAGAAATCAACAACATGCACCGAGTCATACGCGTTGACCTGTATTAAAAGCAGCAACAAAATTGTCATGTTTTATAGTGCCCAGGNCCACCCATCGAAGTCAAAAAATACTTGGACCGATATAAGAAATCAACAACATGCACTGAGTCATACGCGTTGACCTGTATTAAAAGCAGCAACAAAATTGTCATGTTTTATAGTGCCCAAGTTTTCCAACCAAAACAATAGTAGAGACTAATATTGTGGAATGTAGCTAATCACCTAAAATACATATGGACCAGGTAAAGAGGTGACTACTTCCTAAGATATTCTATAAGCCAACTCACCTACCCACGTGTGGTTTTTTATTACTAAATATTAAGGGAGAGCAAGGTTTTCTATTCAGCTGTTATCTTGTCACATCCCAAAATTTTATTTTTTTTTCCTTTTAAAAAAAAATACCCGGGTGTAATTAAGGAATAAAGTTTACCGAACGTACAATAATCTTCCTTATATTATTTTATTTTTCGTACGAGTACATAATTCTCACAAGATAATTTCAAATATTCTTGATACAACATAAAGAGAAATAATAATAGTAGACTCTATCCTTTCAGCCTATTTTTCAACNTTCTTGATACAACATAAAGAAAAATAATAATAGCAGACTCTATCCTTTCAGCCTATTTTTCAACTTGACTTCACATATCTGAAAAATGTTAAATAGGGATGAACTCACCAGCTCAGTAGGATAACGTTTATCAATGACTACCAAGGTTTTAAAATAATGAATAATATAATTAAACCGCGAATAAATACAGGAATAGGGCGAAGTAATGAATCAAATAAATAAATAAATTTCAGCACATATCGATCATATCAATCCGTCAATTTTCTGGTCCACACATGAACCGCCTCCGGAGAAAACTTTGGGGTCCTGCACCTTAGGGAACCCAATGCCCTTCTTGCTTTTCTGGAAGCNATATCTGAAAAATGTTAAATAGGGATGAACTCACCAGCTCAGTAGGATAACGTTTATCAATGACTACCAAGGTTTTAAAATAATGAATAATATAATTAAACCGCGAATAAATATAAGAATAGGGCGAAGTAATGAATCAAATAAATAAATAAATTTCAGCACATATCGATCATATCAATCCGTCAATTTTTTGGTCCACACATGAACCGCCTCCGGAGAAAACTTTGGGGTCCTGCACCTTAGGGAACCCAATGCCCTTCTTGCTTTTCTGGAAACACCAATACCGAAAATTATGTGGTGCCACACAGGCTACCACGACAACCGATATTACTAACTGGTGAACCCAAGGACTAGTAGGAATCCTGTGAATCCTCGCAAGGATCACGCATCTACTATCCCTCTGCCCTCGATTATGTGCATTTATAGTAATTTCATCAAAATTACAAAATAAAATCATANAGTAATGAATCAAATAAATAAATAAATTTCAGCACATATCGATCATATCAATCCGTCAATTTTTTGGTCCACACATGAACCGCCTCCGGAGAAAACTTTGGGGTCCTGCACCTTAGGGAACCCAATGCCCTTCTTGCTTTTCTGGAAACACCAATACCGAAAATTATGTGGTGCCACACAGGCTACCACGACAACCGATATTACTAACCGATGAACCCAAGGACTAGTAGGAATCCAGTGAATCCTCGCAAGGATCACGCATCTACTATCCCTCTGCCCTCGATTATGTGCATTTATAGTAATTTCATCAAAATTACAAAATAAAATCATATCATAGTCAGACTCCACAGTAAATCAAACATTAAATATTAATAATGAAATAGACATTTATTATGCAACATGGTTTTATGAGATAATTAGGATCTCGATAAAAAAAAAATACAATATGTGCATGATAACGATTTATTTATAAAACCCCAGTTTGACCCCATGATATAATATTACATTTTATAATTAAAAATGGATTTGATATGAAACCTCCTAATATGCATAGAATGCATCAATGATGGTAAAAGATAAAAGAAATCCTACCTCCTTCTTGACTTCTATTCGATACCGTGTACCAAAGTTTTGATCGCAACTGCAAATTCTTAGGTCAACAAAATTTTTGACCCCTTATTCCCTCTTTCCTCTCTTTCTCCCTTCCTTTCTTCCTCTCTTTCTCTCTTTTTTCCTTATGTTGTTCAATGCTACTGATCTTGGCTATTTATAGTCAAGATTTTCTTGGCCTCCAAGGAAGTCATGGACAGGCGTCCATTTTCTCACCATGTTTTCCTTTTTTTTTTTTTTTTTCTTTGTTGCATGTGTCTTAAAGCTTGTAAACTTCTTAAAGATGAGCCCTACATATATATATAGATATGCTTGTCCTTTCACCTGCACACACACACACACGCACACATATATAAATATAAATATGAATATATTTGTTATAATTTTTGACCTAAATTATAGTCATTTGACTCGTTTTTACGTAAAGAGTCCATATTTGAAGTCCATTTGTTCATAAGANACACACACACACACACACACACACACGCACACACACATATATAAATATAAATATGAATATATTTGTTATAATTTTTGACCTAAGTTATAGTCATTTGACTCGTTTTCACGTAAAGAGTCCATATTTGAGGTCCATTTGTTCATAAAAAAAAATTTACTTTTTATTTATTAATATAAAATCCTAATTGATGACCTAATTAGCGTGTCGATAATTAATTTATATACGGGTCGTCACAATCTACCCTCCTTAAAAGAAATTTCGTCCCGAAAATTCAATATTAACCTTGAGAGTCAAAAAGATAGGGATATCTTGCACGCATTTCTGCTTCTAGTTCCCACGTGGCTCCTTCGATACCATGATGTTGCCATAGCACTTTTACAAGGGGTATGACCTTGTTACGCAATACCTGTTCCTTAGTGTCAAGAATTTGCATAGGTTGTTTTTCGTATGTTCCATTTTCTTGAATTTGGACATCCTTTCAATTGATGACGTGAGACACATCTGGTTCATATTTCCTTAACATGGATATATGAAACACATCATGTATTCCTGATAATTGAGCCGGCAAGGCAAGCCGATAAGCTATGTTTCCAATGCATTGTGTTATCTCGAAGGNCTTAACATGGATATATGAAACACATCATGTATTCCTGATAATTGAGCTGGCAAGGCAAGCCGATAAGCTACGTTTTCAATACATTGTGTTATCTCGAAGGGTTCAATGTATCTAGGAGCCAATTTACCCTTTTTTTCAAATCGAGATATTCTTTTCTTAGGGGATACTTTCAAGAATACATAATCACCTTCTTGAAATTCCAAGGGTCTTCTCCTTTGATCTGCATAGCTCTTTTGTCGACTTTGAGCGGTGTGTAGCCGCTTCCGAACTACTTGGATCTTCTCAGTGGTTTCTCGAATAATTTCTGGACTAAATAAAATGCTTTCACCAGCTTCGGCCCAACATAGAGGTGATCTACAAGGTCGTCCATATAAAGCTTCATACGGTGTCNTTTGAGCGGTGTGTAGCCGCTTCCGAACTACTTGGATCTTCTCAGTGGTTTCTCGAATAATTTTTGGACTAAATAAAATGCTTTCACCAGCTTCGACCCAACATAGAGATGATCTACAAGGTCGTCCATATAAAGCTTCATACGGTGCCATGCCAATACTGCTTTGGTAGCTGTTGTTGTAAACAAATTCCACCAGCGGAAGATGTTCATTCCAACTACCCTTGAAATCTAGGGCACAAGCTTGCAACATATCTTCCAATATTTAGATCACCCTTTCAGATTGGTCNATTCCAACTACCCTTGAAATCTAGGGCACAAGCTTGCAACATATCTTCCAATATTTGGATCACCCTTTCAGATTGGCCNTGTAAACAAATTCCACCAGCGGAAGATGTTCATTCCAACTACCCTTGAAATCTAGGGCACAAGCTTGCAACATATCTTCCAATATTTAGATCACCCTTTCAGATTGGTCGTCTGTTTAAAGATGGTAAGCAATACTGAAATGCAACTCGGTTCCCGTGGCTTTTTGTAAACTCTGCCAAAATTGAGCCACAAAGCGAGTATCTCGGTCTGACACGATTGATAATGGTACCCCATGTAATCTCTCAATCTCCCGTATATAAAGTTGACTCAATGTGGCCAGAGTGTCAGTATTCTTCATGGCTAAGAAATGGGCCGATTTGGTGAGTCGATCCACTATAACCCATACTGCATTATATCCATTTGTAGTTTTAGGCAAGCCAATCACGAAATCTATAGTGATATGATCCCACTTCTATTCTGGAATAAGTAAGGATTGTAATAACCCACCAAGTTTCTGATGCTCTACTTTTACTTGTTGGCATATGGCACATCGAGCTGTAAATTTATTTACGTCTTTCTTCATTCATTTCCACCAATATTGGCGCTTCATACCTTGATATATTTTTGTGCTNCATTTGTAGTTTTAGGCAAGCCAATCACGAAATCTATAGTGATATGATCCCACTTCCATTCTGGAATAAGTAAGGATTGTAATAACCCACCAAGTTTCTGATGCTCTACTTTTACTTGTTGGCATATGACACATCGAACTGTAAATTTAGTTACGTCTTTCTTCATTCATTTCCACCAATATTGGCGCTTCATATCTTGATATATTTTTGTGTTNTAAATTTAGTTACGTCTTTCTTCATTCATTTCCACCAATATTGGCGCTTCATACCTTGATATATTTTTGTGTTGTCAGGATATATGAAAAACTTAGAGCAATGACATTCCCTAAGTATTTCTTCCTTTAATTGATCATTATCGGGTACACACAACCTTTCTTGATATAGTAATTCCCCTTTTTGTAACTGCCAGTTTTCAGGAGCGTTCCCATCTTCTAGTTGGGTGCGGATGGATTCTAGGTAAGAATCCGAACGTTTGAATGCAACAACTTTTTGTCGGAGGACAGGTTGAGCAACGAGATTAAACAAACGTGGTTTACCTT